AGTATGGCATTCTCTGCCATAGGTGTTAGTGGAAGAATGACTTTGAACAGACATTTCAAGGCTTTTGTATTAGTGTGCTTGGGCTGTTGTAACAAGATACCATACACTGAGTGGCTTAAACAACAGAAACGTATTTCTCACAGTTCTGGAGGTTAGGAAGTCCAGATCAATGTGCTGACCAATTCAGTTTCTAGTGGGCTGTCTTGCTGGCTTGTAAACGGTCACCTTCTTGCTGTGTCCTCATATGGCAGAGAGGGAAAGTAAGCTCTCTATTGTCTCTTCTTGTAAGGATACTAATCCTATTGGACCAGGGCTGGATCCTCACTGGCAATTGGAAAAAACACCAACCTGGTGCACTGAATGGTAGATGAGGAATAAGGATGCCTAGGGTCCTAATCCTGTGTTTTCCAGTTGCTGCAGGAAGCACATCCCTATCCTTCACAAGACCCTGTTTTCTCATTCATAAGGTGAGGGGGTTGAACTGGATGCTCTTTAAGGTGCCTTTCCACCTTTAACTTTGTTCTTGGTCTCTTCTACAGAAGGGAAATCTTGGATTTAGAGTAGAATCTCCCAAATGGTTTAATGAATGATTAAATCCATTCATGTTGTGACAGTGATCTCAGGTCACAAAGCTTCCTAATTATTCTGTCTAGAGATGAGAAGTAGCCAGTTGTTCCTTAGTCAGCTGTGGTTGTAAAGCAGTAATACTTCTGTACTTGTAAAGCTCAATAAAAGATTTTTCTCACCACCTACCCCTCCCTGTTTTTAGAATTCTTACTTTTTGTTCCTTGGAGGTTAGGAGACTTTCACTGTCAAGGACTTAACTGACTATGAGAGGTATCCCTGTATTACATATGCTTGTTTTGTCCTTTCTGGGAATTAATTTATTCTTTCCTGTTTTTGAAACTCCTTGATTTGAGAATATTCTGGAATGTGGATTAAGGTTGGAGAAGTTGAGCTGGGGGAAGATTTTTTGCAGGTAGAGCTGAGGATGGTTTCCCATCAGCAGCTAAAGATGTTTGTTGATTTCTCTGATGGGTACCAGGCCCAGTGCTAACCAGCTGCATAGCACTTTCTCTGTGACTCCCTTCAGTGATAGTGTCTTGTTCTGGAGACTGGAAAATATACTTTGCTATCAGCAGACTTTTTTTGGTTTTTGGCTCTGCCATCTGGACCATTCTGGATTGAACCCAGTGGGCTGTGATCTGCAGGGCCAGTGAAGCCAACCTAGTGGGACCTGGAGTAGCAGCCAATGGGGTAGCAGCTGATGGATGAGCAGTGAGATTAGGAAGAGGAAGGCCCTTTCAAGCCACCTGTCCATAGCACTCTCTTCCCAGACTGAGCTCTAGCAAGTGAGGCTCATGCAGACCCTCCTCTAGGATGTTTGTCTTCTGTTGAACCATATAGGATGGAAGAAAGTTTTTTCCTAGCAAGGCCAGAACAAGTGAGGAAGGGAAGGGTGTGCTCTGGCTTGTGGGAAGTAGAACAAAAGCACAGATCTCGGAGTCTGGCAGACCTGATGCTGATCCTGGCTCAGGGACTTACTAGCTCTATGTGACCTTGGGCAAATTTTCTGAGTCCCAGTGTTCTCACATGTAAAATGAGGCTAGTAATAAAAATGTACAGGCTCATAAGGAGTCAAGTGCCTACTGTGCAGTGGGTGGTCAGTATGTGTGTGTGAATTTTCTTTCCCAGTGAACACAAATTGGGCTTCCCTGGAATGGTAGTCTTTTAAGTTGGAGACCTGGGTTTGGAGGAGTAGGGTGATCTGCTGGGGTCGCCAAGTCAGGGGGCCAGAGCTGATGATGAGGCCACAGGGCAGAAGATAGGGCAGAGCTCCAGCCCTGTAAACACCCATTTTGACCCTTCCTTGGGGTGGGAACGCCCTGATTCGCACTAGAAATGTCATGCCTTTCTATCACATATATTAGGAAAGCTAATACTGATCTCTCTTGTTGCCAGATACTCCCCTGCTTTCCCTTTTGTAATGCTATTTGATGAATCATTTGAGAAGTATTACCGAAGAAAAACTTTAGGGAGAAGGATTGTCACCTCTGACCACCTTTGCACAATCCTGAGTGCAGGCTGTTTTCTCTTGTTGGCTATCTTGCAGTGCTGGAGGATTTATGTGATGAGAATGGCATTTTTGGTATTATTTGCAGAATTGAGAAGACCTTTTTGCCCCTATGGAATATGAAACCGATTAGGAGCTCTTTGTGCTCTGCTGCAAATCATTACACATCTACATTTCACTCTTATAAAATATGGATAATGACATGACTGTCTCTTAGGAGTCTGAGTGCATTAGCTAATGATCATTAAACCTTAGAAATAGAAAATTTATATGAATGTCAGGAGCTTTTGTAATTACATATTTGCATCATTTTGCTTGGCATCCTTGGAAGTTGTGCTTTCAACATGAAAATACTAGGGTTGATTCTTGTTTGTCTTGTTGTGGAGAAAGCTCTGAAGAAATAAGCTCAAAGAGTGTTCAGACAGATCAATTATCTCAGCTTCTCATGAAAGCCCTGAAGGAGCTCAGACCAGAGTGGTTTGGTTTGGGCTGAGGTGGAAGAAGAGCTTGAGATATTTTAAAGGCACTCAAGCTAGAAAATACCAGGAACTGAGGATGGAAATGGCTTTCATGCAAGGTTGTATGTAGATGCTCATGTCCCTTGTCCCCTGTGTCCTCAGACATACATTGTCTGGAAAATGCAGTGTTTTTTTTTTTTTTTCCTCCTCCAGATAATTATTTTAGGATTTAAGAAACTCTTTTAAATAAAAGATGTCAAATGGTAGTGTTCTGAGTACTCTCAATAGAAGAGTTTAAAAAAATTGATCTTTAGGAAAATAGTTACAGATAGTAACCTCACAGTGTGCCATTTGATCGCTGATGTTTTTATTTCATTGCAGGCAGTGGAGCTACTGCTGTGGTTCAAGCAGCCCTATGCAAACCCAGGCAAGAACGTGTAGCAATAAAACGGATCAACTTGGAAAAATGCCAGACCAGTATGGATGAACTATTAGTAAGTAACAGTGCAGGGAATACCTGCTGGTTGCTTTTTTTAACCTATGGGTATATGGAGATGGTTGGGAGAAAGGTGTTAATCTCCTATTTTGACATATGCATTTCTTGGAAAGCAGCCCCTACCACTTCCTGCTCCCTAGATTAATGAGACTATACCTTGTGATTGTGTCAGATAATGAACACCTTCCTTTGCTTTGAGAAACAGTATTTTGCTCAGTTCAAGTAATCCCAAGGTGAGAATGGCCTCAGCGTTGGCACTCCACTTGCTGTATCAAGGGCACACACTGTGGCATAACCTAACATGTCAGGATTACTGACTGCAGTTTTGAATGGTGAGCTTCTGGCCCTCTGTCTAGAATGTGTGACACAAATGGAAGTTGCCCCCAAACTATTTGTTGGTCATTTTAGCTTTCATAAATTATAGCATCACACAAATTTGAGTTATCTTTTAAAAATGCTCTGTAGCTTGCATTTGGCTAATGAGAGGAGTTTGTTTTTCTTAACACGGCAATTTGTACTTATTCTAAATGAGTACCTCATATAAATAATTGGAGCTTGTCAGTGTGGATATGACTATAGTAGCAATGGTTGGTTGAAGGAACATTTGCTTTTGGCTTAGCTGACTCATTATTAAATGAACAGCTTGGCAAATGGTTATTAGTTGCCCGGCAAACTGTGAAGGGTTTGAGGGTTTAATCTCATAAATATCGTTGTTGTTCTACCGGCCAATTTTCTTTTTTTCCCTTTTGGCCATTTATTTGAGGATAATAGAAAACCGCAGTGGAGGAGTTAACTGATTGGTTATCCCCACACTAATCCCAGTACAAATATTAGTCCAGTAGCTCCATACAGCTACAAAGTATAATGACAGTTGGCTGCAAATGAAGAAGCCTTTTGTTACAGTCTACATTGAGAATGGAATGTCATTAACAAGAGCTTTTTGTCTTTACTCAGAATATAGCTTTTATTTTAGGCTTAATTACGGTACACTATAGTATAAATTAAGTACAAGGATAAAGCGGTACTTTTCCAGATCTGTTTGGCCTTACATTTTAAATTAGGCTACACAATGCATAGATTTCGTTGGGTTTTATTGAAGCAGTGGATTGCCCGCTAAAACTCAGAAGAAAACCAGGGCTACCACAATTTAATGTTAATTTTTGAAATTTGCATACATTTAAGGCTTTTACCCGCCTTGAAATTTCAGCTGTTCTTTGCTCTTACTGAAATTCCTACTGCGTGCTACTTGTCTGTTGCTTGCTATCTTAGTGACCAGTAATATTGTGCCTTTGTCACCCAACCGGTTTTCAAGGTCACTTTCTCTGAGTTGGAAAAAGCATTTTATAAACTGTGGGGAGAGTTGGGTCCTGCTTCTGCCACTAAACTTGTTTTGGCTTTAGTAGAGTTACACAACAGCTCAGCGCGATTTAAAAAGAGTTGAATTGGAAGTTTTCTTCTAAGATCCCTTTAGGAATCCTGAAATTCTGTGACCATGCATAAGTGTACTTTAACATTTAAAAAAAAAATTTGGAGTACACATTTAAATGTATGTACTGTTTGGATGTATCACTCAAGAATTTGCCTATGATACTTACGTTTTTGTTTTTGTTTTGAAACGGAGTCTCACTGTGTTGCCCAGGCTGGAGTGTAGTGGCGCGGTTTCGGCCACTGCAACCTCCGCCTCCTGGGTTCAAGTAATTCTCCTGCTTTAGCCTCTCGAGTAGCTAGGATTACAGGCATGCACCGCCATGCCCGGCTAATTTTTGTATTTTTAGTAGAGACAGGGTTTTGCCATGTTGGCCAGGGTGGTCTTGAACCCCTGACCTCAGGTGAGCCATCCACCTTGGCCTCCCAAAGTGCTGGGATTACAGATGTGAGCCACCGTGCCCGGCTGATACTTTGATTGTGGTGTTCTATTAGAGGTCTCAACCATTTTTTGCCATTAGCAGAATATTGATAGAGAATATATGTAAGGCTTGTGTGTACTTGTGCCTGACAGTCCTGGAGCCTGCCTTCTGGTTTGATGGGTTGGTCTCTGGTCTCTACCAAGCCCTCAGTTGCCCATAGCCTTCACGTTTCCCTCTGCTGGCATTTCTTCCATAGTCAGTGTCCAGTGATGGTAACTGTGTAAGCGTCTGGGTGGAGGTCAGCAGGGAGGCTGGTCATTCCGATTTCTTTCCTTTGTTTTCCTGGAACCAATAAGCATAGCAGTGTCATTTGGAGCTACTTGTAACTTAGGTAGAGCTGTCTATCGAAAGGACTGGTGCTTTTGTGGCTTTGTGCTTTGCTTCATTCGTCTGAGGTCGTAGGATTTATGAGTTTGCTTATTAGCAGTTAATTCATTTTCTCATTCTTATTTTCTTTCCTTAATGCCCATGTTGCAATAGAATATAATATATTTGCATTGTTTATTTTTCATTTTATATTGATTTATTGCTTTGATCTTTCCTACCCTTGAACCTTTGACCTTTTGGTGTGTTGATATATTTAGAGAGGGGGGAAATGGCTATGGTTCTTTAGGATGTACAACTCCCAGGTTCTTTTCAAACAAAAATAAGTAGAATTTACAGAGTATAGGCTGCCTGATTTTGCCAGGCTTTTGTGGCCCAGTTATTGGCACATGAGATTGTGTGGAGCAGAGTTGCTGTCATCTTTTCAATGTCTAATACTGCTGTTGCTTGCAGTTTTATTATTTCAGAGGGCTCACATTGTGGCAGTGTTTGGACATCCGGTATCCTAATAATCCTTTAATTCCATGAGTGTGTATTATACACAGGTCAGTGCACTGCATCATCTCACAGACTGGCCATGTGTTAACTGGAAACCATTGTTCTTAGAAGAAACAATGGCCACTGGGATCTTTTCTTGTGAGAGTGTTATGTCATAGAAGTCACAATTATCAACTATGTTTTTGCCACTGGGACATGTTTTTCTCTTGATGACACTCTTATCACCTCCTGACCCCCACTCCCAGCTCAGCCCCCATCTACTACCTGTCCCTTTCCTGTCCCCACTCCCTTTGTCCCATAGTAAAGTGGGATTTATACACACAGGTCAGAAGCGATGGCACACAACAGTTTTAGACCACTGGGCCTGAACTCGACTGCTTTATGTGGTAGGGGCTGTCAGTTGAGTTTCCCGTAGGTCATGGAGCTGGATCCAGGGTTTGCTGAAGAAGGAGTCAAGCGGTCATCATTTCTGAAGGGAAGTGCTAATTATGGTGTCAGCTTCTCTGTGAATGAGCAGAGGAAAAGAAGTGTTAGATGAGATCATTGGTGCTAAATAATTGATGTTTCAAATTTATACTGTTGAAATGTGTACTGTAATATTCTGTAAAGTTAGTTACAGATCAAATAGGCATTTATTTATTTATTTATTTGGTAAATACTTACTGAGTTTCTGTATTATGCTTAAGCCCATCAAAAGGATGGCTTTTGGGTGTGTATATGAGAGTACAAGGCTTTATGCCCACTAAAAATTAATTTTAGTTTAACAGCAATTAGATTAGAACACTCCCAAATTAGCTGGGCGTGGTAGCGGGCACCTATAGTCCCAGCTACTCGGGAGGCTGAGGCAGGAGAATGGTGTGAACCCAGGAGGTGGAGCTTTCAGTGAGCCGAGATCGCCCCACTGCACTCCAACCTGGGCGACAGAGTGAGACTCCGTCTCAAAAAAAAAAAAAAAAAAAGAACACTCCCAAATAAATGTTTTTCTTGGTATGATATTAATAGCAATCAATCTAATCCTTTTTTATGTATTCTTTTGAATTTTCATGTATGTTTTGGAGTTTGGCCTTTAACTGTATTCTGATCTCTGAAGGTATAATGATCTTAGTGTTTAGTTTTCCAGGAGCCAAGGATATGTTCTGGTTTGTTCTGTATTCCTTACTGTGCCAACATAGATGCTTTGATAATTTCTGAAATTTGTTAACCCCACGTTTGTGGTTAACTCCAGATTTGTGAGGCCCATGGTGGTGTAAATGACTGATTATAACTAGTTTAATGCTCTCTAGGAGATACTTACAGTTTTAGAGCGGAACTTGTTAACACCAGAATTATCAAACCCCATTAGATGCTAGGCACTGACTTAGGTGATGGGAAAACAGAGTGGATTCCTATTTTAGGGGGAGACCATAGACTAGTGAATGAGTCTTTTCATTTTTGTTTTGGGTTGGTGAGATTTTTGAACTAAGGGATGTCTTTCTGGACCTTTTGTCTTTATTTGCCCAGAAATGGTTTAGCAGATGACCAGACAATTTACTTTTCTCTAATATGTATTCCCTTGAGGGAGTTCCTGCTTTCCAATAGGAATTTAAGACTTGCTCAGTGGGTCTGACCCATTGTCTTGCAGACTAGTATATTCTGTGTGAAGATGGCCTTGAGGTTTCCTGCAAAAGCTTGGTTCTCTGGTTTGTGGTCAACCTCTAAGGCTAGGGATGCTGTGCTGGGCCACTCTTGACTTCCCTTAAAATCCAATACATGAGTGCTTTTTCTTGAAGTCATGTGTCTTTTCAGCCTCTGTCACCCGGTGAAAAAATGAACTCTATAAATATAACAGTCCTTTCTTCTAATGTGACAAAATGAACTCCATAAATGTAATAGTCCTTTTTTCTATTTACCCTAACCCTACTTTTTGTGATGTTCAGGTTACTCTACCTTACCCAGAGATTGATGAACATTTTGGTTCATAACCTTATTTGACTTTTTGACTTTAAATAGATGCCTTTCAATTTTTTCCTATTGCCTCAAGTTCTCATATTTCTAGTCTGCCTTTGGTACCCATTCACAGAAAATTCAGCCTTATTTGCTCATTCCTGCACATATATCAATGCCATCAAAATTGACAGTTTAATTCTCAAGGGCAGGAGAGCCATAGGAGAAATGGCCCAGGGACCAGGCAAAGCATTTGTGTCGTTAAAAAAATAAAAGGAGGCCGCGCACGGGTGGCTCACGCCTGTAATCCCAGCACTTTGGGAGGCTGAGGTGGGCTGATCACCTG